TCAGAGTAAATTATACCATAAACGAGGAAAGTAATACACATAACTGATTATTTAAACGCAAAATATATGGCAATTCACAAAATAAAATTCCCTAGAAGATTCAAAGAAGAATCTCAGAACGCTTATAAAAGGAATTATTTGAAAAAAATATTCATAAGGTATACTTTTCGCAATCCTTCATGAACTGCTCGTGGTATCCTTGAAGGATTTTAAAGGGAATCATTTAGGAACCCAGGCATATTTTTTTGGAGATGATTCCAGGTGAAATTACTAATGAATTCCCAAAAATGTCCTTTAAGTATTCTGAGATCATGTTCTGAAAAAATCCCCTAAGAAGTTCGTAAAAACGCGTAAGTATCCTGGAGGATTTTTATGGTATTTATGTTTATCAAATTCATTACTTCTGAAAAAAAGAGTTTCTGAAGTATTCCAAAATAGATTCAAGAAAGCATGTTTTCCCGAAGTTACCTTTGAATTATTTTAAAGAAATTCCTGAAGGATTACCCTAATACAAAACATTGAATAAACGAACGATTACCCAAATCATAGAGCGATTCCGCATATGGTTTGAATGATACCCCGAACACGTCGTTAAGCAAAATAACCATAACATATATTAGGGTACTTCAGAACTTCAAAAGCATTCCAAGAAGAATTCCGGAATGGATTCTTGAAATATTATGGAAGCAATCCCTGGCAAAATACCTGGAGGATTGTCGGTGAAATTTTAAGAAATTCTGATGGATTCCCGAAGTTTTAAGAAGTTCAGAAAAAAATCTTGCAAGATGCATGCAGAAATTCCCAAAAGATTTAAAATAGGATTCCGCAATGGATCCTTAGAAAATAGCAGAAGAAACTACTGGAAACATCTATGAAGGATTCTCGAAGAAATCTCTTCCCGAAGCAATCCCTTAAAAATGTAAGCAGAAGTTAATGAATAAATTCAGAAGGATTACCAAAGGAGCTCCTGAAGGATCTTAAAAAAAACAGAATTAAAAGAAATATGAAGAAATCTCTTACAAAAATCCCTGAAGATTTGCAGAAGCAATTTTTAAGGATCCTCAAAGGAATCCCAAAAGCTTTTCTGAAGAATTTTAAATAATTTTTTTTGAAGGATTCCGGAATGTTTGTTTGAACAACTGTAGAAGAAATCACTGAACAATTACCGAAAAAATCCCTGAAGGATTCCCAAAGAAATCACTGCATTTGTTAAGAAATTCCGTGAAAGATTCCCAAAAGAATCCCTGCCGAGATTTCCGAAATAATCACTGAAGGATTCTCGAAGAAATTCCTAAAACAAAATTGGAGAAATTTCTGAAGTAACTTCCCGAATAAATATCTGAATTTTTTTAAAGCATAAGCATTAGCATTAGTAAGGAAATCCCTGAAGAATTATCCTTGTTGTTCTTGGAAAAATTCATTAATAAATCAGAGTGTCTACTACCTTCAAAACCTGGAAGTACCTGGAATGCTCAGGGAATTTAATTTTTCCTAAGAAGAACCCTGAAGGAATTTTAACATCCTATGAAGATCTCCAACAGTATCAAGATGATTCATACAATTTATTTTAAGATCACAACAAAAAGTAAGGTATGAAAAATTAAAAAATCTGAGGCTTATACATTTTGTACTTGATATATTATACTTAGAAAAGTTATCTTGAATATGGGTTTAGTAAAATTAAATCTTAAAGATTTAAATATTTTTTTTTTACATTCTGGGCTTATAAAATGTGAATCCTCAGATTCCAGGCATGGAAAATGTCCTAGATTTTGAATCATGAGAAGCTTTCAAGATTCTTAACTAACAGAAATATTCGAATTTTTTAACGTATTTTAAATAAAGGTTTCATCTAATCATCTTGAAAAATATGTTTGAGGAAGGAATCGTTGGAGGATTTATTGGGGATATTCTGGAACATTTTAGTAAGAATCCGTGTAGCGTCTCCAGAGTTCATGGAAAAAAATTTCATAGTAAAGCTATGTAAAGCTAAGAGTATTTAGGGTATTTCTCGCAAGGTTCCTGGCAGATAAAATATCAATAGCTTGCATTTAACTTATGAAAAGTCTTATCGTTTCGAAGATATCGATATGATAGGTTATAATTTTTACCGGAATCGTCGGACTGACCAGAGCATTTTCAGAAGAGTGTATTACGGTCTTCAATGGTAAACCATTCATTGATTGCTCAAAATTTGATTGCCTGACAAGATCATAAAAAATATAAAATAATTCATTCAATCAAAGTATAGTGTTACTTCATACCCGAAGTTTACGATTTTCAGAGATGAGAGGAAATGCTATACTAATATCAACATGAAGGTTTAGTGCGATAATTTATTAGCTACAGAAAGTTCTAAAGAGGATAGATTGATAGTACTCTAGTGGAACTATCAATCTATCCTCTTCAGGTATTTATCTAGCAAATAAATTATCACTTTAAAGCTTCATGTTGATATTATAGCATTTCCTCCCAACTGTGATAAAATAATTGCTAACTTAATGGAAACAGAAGTATCGGTATGATCATCGATCAGTGTCGTAATTGTAACAAACAAACAATTAGGCATCTCGATTGCCAAATCAAAGCTAGGTAAATACCATATAATAAAATCAAGCATCGACTGATACCGGTAAAAGCCACACAACAGTGGTAACCTTAACCTACGAACTAATCTAAACGAGGAAAGTAATACACATAACTGATTATTTAAACGCAAAATATATGGCAATTCACAAAATAAAATTCCCTAGAAGATTCAAAGAAGAATCTCAGAACGCTTATAAAAGGTGTAAGTGTCAGCCACCTCAGTCAGGAGCACTTTCGAGACTCCCTGACTCCAATGGCCTCAGGGTCGGCACGCTTACCGATTGCAATTACGCGGGCAGGGAATGATCGCACGTGACACACAGAAAAAACTCCACAAGCACTTCACTACTCAAGAATAGACATTTATTGCACTTTCCTGAACTTTTATTCTCCCTCTTTACTACCTTATTCTCCCACTTTCTTACAATCTATCTGACCTGGTTTCTTCGTCGGGGCCCCTCGCAACACCTCCACTATGTGTCTTCGATTGTCGACCGCTTGTTCTCGGTCGACGTCCGCTTCCTCTCCACTTTCTCGTCGTGTATCTCGTTCGCGCGCTTGATGTACGGGGTGGCGAAAACGAGCACCAGGTTACTCTTCCTGGGCCTGTGAGTTGGTGACGAACTCGGCCGGCAGGCAATGACGATGTAACCTTCCGGTACGTCTACCGAAACTTCACTGCGTACAGGTGATTTGTATTAAATACAGCGGGGTCCTGCTGTCCTTGACTCTCTCCTCACACTTTTTCACTGTTTCCACTCTTACTTGCGTCAATTTAGCTGGCTTGCTTTCTTGATAAACCGTTTTCGCTGGTGGTCTTACGATCAGTCATTATTAATTTCAGAGTTGAGTGAGTCATTGGGTCACTGCTCCAGGCTGTCGGCCAGTGACCCGGGCCATTCGTCGTTCATCGCCAGTTTGTCGTGCCCGTTATCGTCCATTCAAAATGGCCATCTCTATCGCCACCCCCCATGGCCTCCCAACAGGCAGTTGTTTGTCCATCTGGTGGCGGGTTTTTGTAATTTTCGGTGGGGTGGATTGTTGCGTTCTACAGTAAGCTGTCCTACCTCTGCCTACTAGGGAGTTAGACAACGGAGAAAACTGCACAACACTCACGAACATTACCTGCCATTTTTTTTTACACTTTTACGGAACTAAACAAAAAACAACGATAATCTAAAAAATACTCGAAACAAAGACACTAGCACTTACACTCTCCCTCAGCTCGGGTAAAAATATTTACAAAGTAAATATTTTTGCTTCAAACCTCACAAGACTTCCCCGGTTACACGTACCTCTGAACCTACACAACACAAGAATATTATCACCAGGACAAAATCACTGCAACTGACTGAAGTTTGCGAAATATATACATTGTAACGTACAGGGTTAAGATGACTATACAAAAATAAAAAGTATGTGAAGGTTGCTATTAATCATCGAGTATCGGGGTCATAAGTTTTCATCGTTGAACTTAATCAACTCCTCTCAATTTTATGACATTATATCAATACTGACCATCAGTGTTCATAGACTCCGATCTCCAGCGATCAAATACATAGGTTTTTACACCTAGTAACCTCGAAACAAATTAGCTAAATTTTCACCGATTGTTTAAAAAGATATTTACTATAACATAACTATTTACTACATGCAATATTCCATTTACTATCAATTTTTAAATCAAAACAAAATATTAATAACTTGGAGCATATATATATACAATAATTGAGTCATGCGAATGGTGCACGAAACATTTCACGCGACTTGTCGGAGTTGTGTTCTAGTACGTTTTTCGAGATAACGTTATCACTGATTTATCTGTGTGCGTGATCTTGGTTCGGTCTTCTTAGAAACATTGTCAAACTGCTGTCAATAGTGATTCTGATGCGATGATGATAACATGTGGTAAGTAATGATGAGGTTTTAATAAGAAATTATTTGATTTGCCGGCTGCGAAAAATCATCATATCATGATAGATTTTTATTAAAAAAATTGGCCAATTGATCTTTCCATTGGTTTTGATTTTTCGCTTAGTTGAATTTCTTACTAGAAGCTCATCTCTGCACTTCTTTTGTTGATCACGTGACAATATGTGAATGGTGAGTATGTATAACGAAAGTGGAATCTGCTAGAATATGAGTAAAACTCATCGATTTGGTGTTCTATTGTTTTACTATATTGACTTGATCATGACCTTGACACAATTTTTTAACACACAGCTCATTTACACACATACATCTCTGCACAATAGCTTGCTGACTGACTGTATTCGAAGTTAAAACTTGTTTATAACTTTGCTTTCAAGACAGTTGAAACATACAGACGATATACGGTGCGCTTTAACATTCTGACTTTGAATACCAATACAAAACAAACAAATTAAAAGAAAATTATCCCCTTTTGGGAACTAAAATATGAAAATAACCATATAATTTCTAAAATTTTAGGTAAACATGCAAATTTACAATACTACTAGATTAAAACTATCAAACTACAGTGCGCAATCAACTACTAAACAACGTTGCTATTTTTATACGGCCGTATTTACAAATATAATATGGATGCAACTGAATATTCATGCTACTCACGCATTGGTTTGCGTTCTTCTACCCCGGGGTTTTCCTGTTATTTTTGGAAGCTGATTTTCTAAACCATGGAAGGACAGGTACATTAAAACATGATTATTCACTAAAATATCTATCCCTTTCCACATTAAAACCTTCAACTTCTGGATTGCATAATTGAAATGATGTGATTTAGAGCTCTTATTCTTCTTTTTTTTTTTTTTAGGGAACTATGCTTTTAAATCCGCAGCTGAGAATACACCCAACGATTTTCCGTTTAAGTCCGACACCTCGTACGAACTGGTACCGACTTTCCGGAGGATGACGCATGGTGTGTATTGAGGTCCCAGCTTCGCGTTGAATTGGATTCCAGCAGACGACTGACGAAAACTCCGTTTATACACACGCTGACCCACATCAAACGTTGGTGAGTAACGCTTATGTCGGAGATCGTATCGTCTCTTCGTGCCCTCATGAGCTTTCTGGAGATGATCTCTTACCAACTCACTGATCCTTTTGTTTACACCTCTCCACCTTTCCATTCTCTGCTCTTCGGTTTGCTCTGTGATCGCCTCCAGTCTATGCTCAGATCCTTTGCTGATGATTTCGTGACCAAACACTACGCAATATGGGCTGAATTTGGTCGTCGTATGGATCGTATTATTCAGTACGAATTCCATCTCCGAAATCTTCGTGTCCCAAAGTTTTTGGTCATGTTTTACGTAGGAACGAATCATTGCGTTAATCGTTCTGTTGAGTCGTTCAGCCGGATTTGCCTGGCTCCTATGGCGAGCATTCGCCCAATGTTGAACATCATATTTCTCAAGCAGATTATGGAAATCTTTCGACAAGAAAGTTGTTGCATTGTCCGTGATGACGATTTGAGGTGTAGAGAATTTCCTAAACCATTGCTCCTCTAATATTTTGCACAGCGAGACCGTCGAGATCTTCTTAACAGGAGCAAGTAAGCAATACTTAGAAAAGAGGTCCATGACCACCAATAAGTGCGCGTTGCCTTGCTTGCTTCTGGGAAGGGACTGGATGTAATCCATGCAAATTATTTGAAAAGGTCGTGAAGAAATCCTCTGCTTCCCCATTTCCGGAGCTGTCGACACGGTAGAGTGTTTATTTTCCTTGCATAGCTCGCAGTTGGCGATATATTTTTTAATATCGCCGCTCATGCGAGGCCAGTAAAACTTTCGTTTGATTTTCTCAACACATTTTATGTATCCAATGTGGAGATTTTGGTCGTGTTCCTGTTTCAGGATCTGGGTTCGTTTTGAAGTTGGAACACACTGCTTCCATTCAAACCGGTAGTCCATTAAGTCGGACCTAACGGCTACAAACTTGTAGAGAACTCCATCCACAATTTTGAAGTCTAAGTACTTCTCAGGATCTTCCTTCACTGTTGCTAACAATTTCTTGTACCATCCGTCATCGGGCTCATCATCTAGCGTTTCGATAGATCGGGAGAGCGCGTCGGGAACAATATTCTCTTTCCCTTTACGATGACGGATCTCCATGTCATGTTGTTGAAGTTCGATGCTCCAGCGACTGAGCCGTGAGGAAGACCGCCATTTCGCTCGCATTATAAAAGTCAAGGCAGAGGAATCCGTCACAAGAGTAAACTTCGTCCCCTCTATATAACCTCTAAACTTTTCTATGCAGTGGAGCGCAGCGAGTCCTTCCTTTTCTGCCGCGTGGTAGTGCAACTCCGCTCCCTTGAGCTTTTCGGAGTGGTACGCTATGACCTTCTCCTCCCCATTATGCACCTGCGTCAAGACCCCTGCGATAGCGTTGTCGCTTGCATCCGTTTGGACCGTAAAGGGAAGCATAAAATTCGGGTTGGCCATCACAGGAGCAGAGATTAGTCTCTCCTTGATGACCTGAAATGCATTATCAGCTGCTGTGTTCCATTGCACCCTCTTTGGCTTATTTTTTAATAAGTCAGTGAGAGGTGCTGTAATTTCACTATAATTTGCGATGAACCTACGGTAGTAATTGATCATACCGAGGAATCGACGAAGTTGTCTAACCGATTTCGGAACCTGATATCCTAAGATCGCCTGTACACGATCTGGATTAGGCCGTAATCCATCTTGAGACAAAATGTACCCAAGATACGGCAATTCTTTGCAGCAAAATTTAGATTTTTTTACATTAATGCACAAGTTTGCTTCTCGTAAACGCTTCGCTAGGTCTTGAAGTTTTTGAATATGCTCTTCGAAAGTTTTGCTGACAATCACAATATCGTCTAAATAAACGAATATTGCTGGTTCTAAAGCACCGTGACTTAGCACACGATCCATCAATTTACTCAGAGTAGCAGGACTGTTTACCAACCCAAACGGAAGCCGTGTAAATTGAAACAGCCCTCTACCTGGGATTGAAAAGGCAGTGTACTTTCTAGAGTCCGGGCTCAACGGAATCTGTAGAAAGGCTTGCGATAAGTCAATGGTCGTCAAATATTTGACCGGCCCCAAATGACTCAAAATTCTGTTCTGGTGCGGTAATGGGTAAGTGTCCCTTTTGGTCCTCTCATTCAATTTTCTGGCGTCTAAGCATAGTCTTACTTCTTGACTGTCCCTCTTTGCAACAGGTACTACTGGTAAAGCCCAATCTGAGTTAGATTGCTCAACGATCCCATCTCTAATCATGTCGTCCAGTGCTCCGTGAATTTTCTGCTGTATCACTGGACTCCATGGATACGGGTTCTTTCTAACCGGATCTGTTTCCCTAAATTCCTCCTTCAATTCGATCGTATGTATTATTCGGTTCGTTGCTCCGAAATTTCCAGGTTCTGCGACTAAAAACTCCTTTTTCACATTTTCCAGTTGTATCTTCTGTTCCTCCGTTAGCTCATCCTCCATCTCTTCTTTCCTGCTAACGCCATCATCTAAGATCTCAACTGGATCATCTCGAATAGTTGGTCTAATCCCAAATTTTAGCCAAAAATCGTAGCCTAGCACACACCTACGGTTTAGATTCGGAGCGATTAGTACAGGCAAAATTTTCGTAGTGCCATTGAATGTGATTGGAATGTCTGCACATCCTTGGACTTCTAGCTCATCCCCAGCTGCTGTCCTCAAATTGACTGAAGTTGGTTGAAGCTTCAAATTAAGTTTTTTCATGATTTTGCTCGCTCCGATCCCTAGAACCGTCCATGCTGCTCCACTGTCTAGAAGCCCAATCACATCAATCCCCATCAATTCAATCCTTGTAAATGGCCGGGCGTCTCCACTAAGCTTGACGAGCAATGTTGCTATCTCCTCCCGCATTGTGGCACGTCCTTCCACGATTGAGTATCCTAATTCCTGGAGACTGGATGCTGGATCTTCCGGCGATACGTGTTGAGGACTTTCGGAGACGATTTGACTGCTCTGCCTCATTGAGCAGTCTTCTTGGCGTTTTTTGATTCGCAGAATGGGCAGTCATTCGTGGGGAACCCTGGAAAACCACATTTCTCACAAAAGACGTGGCGTTCTTGTTCACACTCATGAAAACTGTGCCCCTCCTCGTGGCAATTAAAACATAAACTACGTTTTATCGGAATGTATGCTTTTACAATCCTTTGTAACGCACTGGTACCGCTCGGACCTGGTTTTGGGTTTTCCTGTCTTCGTTGATGATTTTGGTTGTTCTGCTGGATTGGCTTCTGTTTTGGTTGAAATTTCTGTTGATTATGTTCACCCTGAATTTTGTTCCTCTCAGGTGGAATTTGTTTACCTCCGGGTTTAAAATTTGGGTTAAAATTTTGTCCTTGGTATCCTCCTGTGTACCCTGATGGAAATCTATTGTTTAATCCATTCCCACCTCGGTATTGATTCTGCTGACTGATTTCCTCGACTTGACCATTTGGCCTTTCAAATCTACTCTCCTTTCTTGCATAAACCTGCCAATTAATACTATCGAACTTTTTTCCAAATTCCCTCATTTTAGGAATGGAGGTCACGTTCGCAGCCAACATCGCCGTTCTGCAATCTGCTCTGGTGTTCCGGAAAAGCACATCGAACTTTCTGGCATCATCCCATTGTCTCGACATACTCCGGAAAATTCGTACCATATCCAGATAATAGTCCTGGAATTTCTCCCTAGGACCTTGCTTTCGCGCATTCGCCAGACGTTCATACTGGTAATCAATGTCTACAGGTAAGAACTCGCTTTTAAGTTCAGTTACCAGATTCTTCCACGATCCTAACTCATTGTTCCCATTGACTTCCATAAACCACGACCTAGCTTTCCGCGTAAACAGATGATGTGCAGATACGAACAATTCTGCTTCTGTGCATCCTTCCGACCTTGCATTAAATTCAACTTCTTTGAGGAATTCGTTTAGCTTTCTCCCATTATCCATCCCATCGTACTTTGCTGACCATTTATGCACCGGTAATCGGCTAGTTCTTGCCCTATCTATCTCTACTTTCTTCCTATTGCTCTTGTCTGCATGATGGGAGGACTGAGTAAATCTCTTTTCTTCTACTACACTCTGAATCGAACCATATTTATTCTTCACCCATTCACAAAAATCCTGCTGATTAGCTTTCTGACGCGCATCTTTCTCATGTTGTATCGAACTTTGCTCTAACGGTGTACTAGTGCTTTGTTTGATTGGTTCATTTCCTTCACAATGTTTGGTTGCAGTCAAAGCTTCCAAAGCTTTAATACGCTGAATCAGCTGACCTACTGTTGCCATTAGTCGCCTATTCTCATCCGAAAGCTCTGCAACTCTTTCGTTCTCTTTTTCACCAATCACATCATCTCCACCTACAGCACCAACATCGTCAGAATTCTCCTCATATTCCTCTCTCCTAATACTTTCGTTCATATGCTCACTGCTCACACTCTCCTGTTCTCGCGTTTGTACCACTTCACTCAGACCAACTATGGACTCTACTTCTTCATTTTCATTCTCATTCCTCTCATCTATTTCTTCGCGGACTTGTCGTAGGCTTTCATTTACGATTGCTATCTCAGCTTCTCTCACTTCGGAGAGTGGTGAAGTGATTGAGTAAAATAGATTTAATAACCTGATACATTCTCCTGCTATCGTTGCTATGCTATTCAAATCTTCTTCTTCTTCTGCCTGTGACCTCAACCGTTTCATTCTGAAGAAAATGTGAAGAAGCTTGGATTTGAATTTTTGATCAGCGGCTTTTCGTATTTTCTTGCCTTCCAATATGGATTTTACACCCTGTAGCTTTTCATCACACCATTTCAACTCATCAATCAACGCAATCTCATCGTATTTGAAACTTAATCTTCTCACTTCTTTTTCAGCTTTCAACAAATTCCGCAAGGCTCTCTCCTGTTTACTACGCGATTCATCATCCATGTTCACACCACGAATCCGCAATTCATGATGGAGTTCGTCATCAGCCAGATGAGCAGTATTGAGCGCGTGGTACTGCGTCTCAAAGTGAATTAATTCCATTATGCAATGTTTGCGTGAAATTTAAGCAAAATTATAAAAAGAAAAATTAAAAAGAACTACCTATATTACGCTTAGCGGTCTTTCACGCTGAAAATTAATTTGAAAATCCTAATAATTGTAAAATCCTAGTTTCAAATTCAGAAATAAATCACTTTTCCTTTCTGGTGTTTTAATAACTCCTTCCGAAAACACACCACGCACACGGATAAACAGTTCGCTCCTTTGAATTCAATCTACTTGTTACTCACTTTTTGAACAATCGTTCTTTGTTACTTTTTTACGGACAATCAGAACCCCTCCATTGCAAATAAAATATTTGTTAAACTGTGTCAGGTAAAGTAATAATGTCAAATGTGCTAAGAGACTTGTGAAGGCCTGGATGTTTTCTCAGAGACCTCTGTAGAAACCAGCTCTATCAAGTGCGATCTTCCGAGCTGTATTCTTAAAACAACTGCCGATAAGACAATTTTAAGTTGGGCGCCAAAGTGTAAGTGTCAGCCACCTCAGTCAGGAGCACTTTCGAGACTCCCTGACTCCAATGGCCTCAGGGTCGGCACGCTTACCGATTGCAATTACGCGGGCAGGGAATGATCGCACGTGACACACAGAAAAAACTCCACAAGCACTTCACTACTCAAGAATAGACATTTATTGCACTTTCCTGAACTTTTATTCTCCCTCTTTACTACCTTATTCTCCCACTTTCTTACAATCTATCTGACCTGGTTTCTTCGTCGGGGCCCCTCGCAACACCTCCACTATGTGTCTTCGATTGTCGACCGCTTGTTCTCGGTCGACGTCCGCTTCCTCTCCACTTTCTCGTCGTGTATCTCGTTCGCGCGCTTGATGTACGGGGTGGCGATGACGAGCACCAGGTTACTCTTCCTGGGCCTGTGAGTTGGTGACGAACTCGGCCGGCAGGCAATGACGGTGTAACCTTCCGGTACGTCTACCGGAACTTCACTGCGTACAGGTGATTTGTATTAAATACAGCGGGGTCCTGCTGTCCTTGACTCTCTCCTCACACTTTTTCACTGTTTCCACTCTTACTTGCGTCAATTTAGCTGGCTTGCTTTCTTGATAAACCGTTTTCGCTGGTGGTCTTACGATCAGTCATTATTAATTTCAGAGTTGAGTGAGTCATTGGGTCACTGCTCCAGGCTGTCGGCCAGTGACCCGGGCCATTCGTCGTTCATCGCCAGTTTGTCGTGCCCGTTATCGTCCATTCAAAATGGCCATCTCTATCGCCACCCCCCATGGCCTCCCAACAGGCAGTTGTTTGTCCATCTGGTGGCGGGTTTTTGTAATTTTCGGTGGGGTGGATTGTTGCGTTCTACAGTAAGCTGTCCTACCTCTGCCTACTAGGGAGTTTGACAACGGAGAAAACTGCACAACACTCACGAACATTACCTGCCATTTTTTTTTTACACTTTTACGGAACTAAACAAAAAACAACGATAATCTAAAAAATACTCGAAACAAAGACACTAGCACTTACAAAGGAATTATTTGAAAAAAATATTCATAAGGTATACTTTTCGCAATCCTTCATGAACTGCTCGTGGTATCCTTGAAGGATTTTAAAGGGAATCATTTAGGAACCCAGGCATATTTTTTTGGAGATGATTCCAGGTGAAATTACTAATGAATTCCCAAAAATGTCCTTTAAGTATTCTGAGATCAAGTTCTGAAAAAATCCCCTAAGAAGTTCGTAAAAACGCGTAAGTATCCTGGAGGATTTTTATGGTATTTATGTTTATCAAATTCATTATATCTGAAAAAAGAGTTTCTGAAGTATTCCAAAATAGATTCAAGAAAGCATGTTTTCCCGAAGTTACCTTTGAATTATTTAAAAGAAATTCCTGAAGGATTAACCTAATACAAAACATTCAATAAACGAACGATTACCCAAATCATAGAGCGATTCCACATATGGTTTGAATGATACCCCGAACACGTCGTTAAGCAAAATAACCATAACATATATTAGGGTACTTCAGAACTTCAAAAGCATTCCAGGAAGAATTCCGGAATGGATTCTTGAAATATTATGGAAGCAATCCCTGGCAAAATACCTGGAGGATTCTCGGTGAAATTTTAAGAAATTTTGTTGGATTCCCGAAGTTTTAAGAAGTTCAGAAAAAAATCTTGCAAGATGCATGCAGAAATTCCCAAAAGATTTAAAATAGGATTCCGCAATGGATCCTTAGAAAATAGCAGAAGAAACTACTGGAAACATCTATGAAGGGTTCCCGAAGAAATCTCTTCCCGAAGCAATCCCTTAAAAATGTAAGCAGAAGTTAATGAATAAATTCAGAAGGATTCCCAAAGGAGCTCCTGAAGGATTTTCAAAAAAAAAACAGAATTAAAAGAAATATTCCCTGAAAATCCCTGAAGATTTGCAGAAGCAATTTTTAAGGATCCTCAAAGGAATCCCAAAAGCTTTTCTGAAGAATTTTAAATAATTTTTTTGAAGGATTCCGGAATGTTTGTTTGAACAACTGTAGAAGAAATCACTGAACAATTACCAAAAAAATCCCTGAAGGATTCCCAAAGAAATCACTGCATTTGTTAAGAAATTCCGTGAAAGATTCCCAAAAGAATCCCTGCCGAGATTTCCGAAATAATCACTGAAGGATTCTCGAAGAAATTCCTAAAACAAAATTGGAGAAATTTCTGAAGTAACTTCCCGAATAAATATCTGAATTTTTTTAAAGCATTAGCATTAGCATTAGTAAGGAAATCCCTCAAGAATTATCCTTGTTGTTCTTGGAAAAATTCATTAATAAATCAGAGTGTCTACTACCTTCAAAACCTGGAAGTACCTGGAATGCTCAGGGAATTTAATTTTTCCTAAGAAGAACCCTGAAGGAATTTTAACATCCTATGAAGATCTCCAACAGTATCAAGATGATTCATACAATTTATTTTAAGATCACAACAAAAAGTAAGGTATGAAAAATTAAAAAATCTGAGGCTTATACATTTTGTACTTGATATATTATACTTAGAAAAGTTATCTTGAATAAAGGGTGATACGGTCAAAATTTGGTCAAGGGAAAATGCGTGTAAATCGGTGAAATCGTTTATTTAAAAAATCAAATTAAATTTCTTTTTCAAGTTCAATTAGTATAAAATTCAGGAAAAATATTCAGTTAGGCTTCCGCTTTTCCAAATCCGAATTGCCGGGCCTTACGCTTGACCCCTGCCATCAGATTTTGTACAGCCACCTTGTCCACCTTCTTCGCCGCAGAAAGCCAGTTTGCCTTGAACTGCTGCTCGCCCTTAGCAGTTTTTTTGGTCTTCTTTAGGTTCCGCTTGACAATAGCCCAGTATTTCTCAATTGGGCGGAGCTCTGGCGTGTTGGGAGGGTTCTTGTCCTTGGGAACCACCTGCACGTTGTTGGCGGCGTACCACTCCATGGCCTTTTTACCGTAATGGCAAGATGTAAAATCCGGCCAAAACAGTACGGAACAACCGTGTTTCTTCAGGAAAGGCAGCAGACGTTTATTCAAACACTCTTTCACGTAAATTTCTTGGTTGACAGTCCCGGAAGCTATGAAAATGCTGCTTTTCAAGCCACAGGTACAGATGGCTTGCCAAACCAGATATTTCTTTGCGAACTTTGACAGTTTCATGTGCTTGAAAACATCTGCTACCTTTCCCCTTCCTTTTGCCGTATAAAACTCCTGTCCCGGAAGCTGCTTGTAGTCGGCTTTGACGTAGGTTTCGTCGTCCATTACCACGCAGTCAAACTTCGTCAGCATCGTCGTGTACAGCCTCCGGGATCGCGCTTTGGCCGTCGTATTTTGTTTATCATCGCAATTTGGAGTCACTACCTTCTTGTAAGTCGATAGTCCGGCTCGTTTTTTGGCTCGATGCACGGTTGTAGACGATACACCCAGCTTATTTGCGGCATCTCGGAGAGAGAGGTTAGGGTTTCGCTTGAAACTACCGGCAACTCTCTTTGTCGTCTCAGCGGCTTCCGGCTTCCGATTTCCCCCCGATCCAGACTTCCTGGCTGTCGACAAACGTTCCCCAAACACTTTAATTACATTTGTAACGGTTGATTTGGCAACTTTTAGCGATTTTGCCAACTTTGCGTGCGAGTAGCTCGGATTTTCGCGATGCGCGAGCAAAATTTTGATACGCTGCTCTTCTTGCTTGGACGGCATTTTGACAACTGAAGAGTGAATTCCAAAATCAAAATAGGAGCAACATTCTACACACACACACCTTCAAAATGAGGGGTGTTCAGGATTTTTAAATGCAAAATTGAAAGAAATACGTCAAGTTGATATTGACCAAATTTTGACCGTATCACCCTTTATGGGTTTAGTAAAATTAAATCTTAAAGATTTAAATATTTTTTTTACATTCTGGGCTTATAAAATGTGAATCCTCAGATTCCAGGCATGGAAAATGTCCTAGATTTTGAATCATGAGAAGCTTTCAAGATTCTTAACTAACAGAAATATTCGAATTTTTTAACGTATTTTAAATAAAGGTTTCATTGATAACCTGGAAATGTTTTGTTGAAGTCCTGGAAAAAAAACCAGGAAAACTAAAGGGAATTTTATTTAGCATAATGAGTAGACATGCTGTAAATCTTTGCATAATTGCAGAAGAAATCTCAGAAGATTTTCTGTAAACATTCTGAAGGATTCCCAAACGAATCCTCGAAAAATGTTCGAAGAACACACTCCGATATAATTCCAGAATAAAATAATGAACAAACCTCCCGAAGAAATACCTGAAAATTTTTTGAAACAATTCGGTAGGATTCTCGAAGGAACTCCTTAAGGATTTTCAAAAGGATTCGCAAATAAATGAAGGAATTCTGGAAGAAATTCTCGGAATAATTCATGAAGAAAAGCAGAAGCATTGCTTATTTAATTTAAGGCCTGATAATGCCACAATAGTGTCCGAGATTAGCTCTCTAGAAAACTTGAAGTGGCAGTGAAAATCCCTATTATGTGTGGACGCTGGATCGTATCACCTTAAAGGATTCCCAAAATACTCCAGATGGATTTCGGAATGAATCTTTACAGAATTGCCTCGAGAATTGTGGAACAAGATACTGAAAAATTCACGAAGCAATTCAGTGACGGACTGTGAGATTTTTTGAACATCTAAATTTGCGATTTAGATGTGTTGCACTCCTAGTTCCCGAAGAAATTCCTTATATAATTCAGAAGAAATCCAGGAAAAATTCTTGAAGGATCCGCAAAAAAATTCTAATAAATTCAGAAGATATTCAGAAAGGAAATCTCTAAAGATTTTTCGAAGAAATTCTGAAAGATTCACGAAGAAATCACAGAAGGATTTCAGATAGAATCTCTGAAGCATTCTTGAAGAAACGATCATTAAAATTCATGAAGAAATCTCTCTAAGACTCGCGAAAGAAATTTTGAAGCCTTGTCAAAAAAATCCATGACGGTTTTTCGCAGAAGTTCACAGGAAATTCTTGAAGGATTCGGAATGCATACTTGGCGAATAGCAGAAGAGATCCCGATTAAAACCATGGCATTTTAAAAGGATTTAGGATGAGTTCTGAATGTGATGGATAAATCAAGAAAGAATGTCTTAATGATTTCCTAAGGAGTATTGTTGAGAATTTCAGGAGGAATCCATGGTATAATGTGAACGAATATAATTCACTTGCATCATTATGAAAACCGTTGTGACAGCAATTACATCTAATCATCTTGAAAAATATGTTTGAGGAAGGAATCGTTGGAGGATTTATTGGGGATATTCTGGAACATTTTAGTAAGAATCCGTGTAGCGTCTCCAGAGTTCATGGAAAAAAATTTCATAGTAAAGCTATGTAAAGCTAAGAGTATTTAGGGTATTTCTCGCAAGGTTCCTGGCAGATAAAATATCAATAGCTTGCATTTAACTTATGAAAAGTCTTATCGTTTCGAAGATATCGATATGATAGGTTATAATTTTTACCGGAATCGCCGGACTGACCAGAGCATTTTCAGAAGAGTGTATTACCACAAACGAAGTGACAGACGGAGCGGCTCGAAAACTTTGGTGACTAACCTGCTATTTCAATTTTTCAGTGTACCACATGGCAACACCACTACTACTGGATTGTACCACATGGCAACACTACTACTAGATTGAACTAGCATTTTCACCAAATGTACTAGAATGTTTTGGTTCTATCTCTTTCACTCTACTCAAAACTGAAATGCATAAAAAAATGACAAAATGATACGCACTCTTTGCACACTGTCAAAGAATCATTGTACACAAAATCAACTTTGTTCAAATCAAAACAAAAAAACTAACCCATCTGGTGGATGATGGCACAAGCTTCCAAGAAAATTCTATTACAGTGAACCACATTATTTAAATGGATTTCTTCGCCAGTTAGTCGTCTGTCACTTCGTTTGTGGTATTACGGTCTTCAATGGTAAACCATTCATTGATTGCTCAAAATTTGATTGCTTGACAAGATCATAAAAAATATAAAATAATTCATTCAATCAAAGTATAGTGTTACTTCATACGCGAAGTTTACGATTTTCAGAGATGAGAGGAAATGCTATACTAATATCAACATGAAGGTTTAGTGCGATAATTTATTAGCTACAGAAAGTTCTAAAGAGGATAGATTGATAGTACTCTAGTGGAACTATCAATCTATCCTCTTCAGGTCTTTATCTAGCAAATAAATTATCACTTTAAAGCTTCATGTTGATATTATAGCATTTCCTCCCAACTGTGATAAAATAATTGCTAACTTAATGGAAACAGAAGTATCGGTATGATCATCGATCAGTGTCGTAATTGTAACAAACAAACAATTAGGCATCTCGATTGCCAAATCAAAGCTAGGTAAATACCATATAATAAAATCAAGCATCGACTGATACCGGTAAAAGCCACACAACAGTGGTAACCTTAACCTACGAACTAATCTGAACTGCGGACTCGGGTCCGAGTCGGAGAGTCTTTCCGTAGTATCTGGGGTCAAAATCAGATAAATTCATTCTATTCCACCGGTAAAAACACCATTGGCAGTAACTACGACCCCGGATCCTACCAAAAATGGCTCCGACTCAGCAGCACTAAAATTAACACACGCATGAGAGTGAATAAAATTGCTCCAGGCTACCATCCGGCAGTTTGTCCTTTCCTTTTTAGGAAATCGTGTGACACGAAACTGATGCCTATTATTGCCACGACCGCAGCAGTGAAATAATGATTCATAATTTGAAAAAAACTTACGCCCACGCTGCTTTCCTGTCAAAAAATTTGTGGTGAAAAAATGGTTGCACTCCACCCGGGCGGTAATCATGCGTCTCACTTGCTCCTCAGACACTGCAATGTAAAAATTCAGAATAAATGACAAGGTTACGTTAATTGCTACAGGTTTACTTATTTTTTCTGCTTCTTGAGCTACCCTCCATCACAGCTAAAAAGTTTATTGGTGATAAAATCCACCGAATAATATAATCACCGACCGAAATCGAAAACTGCGCGCGATCTTTGCCAGCAACCAACACAGAACAACAACAGAAGCTAACAAATTTCCATCTGTCCTCCGGAGCAGACTTATTTTTGACAGATTGAAATTTGAGGGGAAATAATTTCTCATCTGTCAAGTTTAAGTGAAAATTCTCCAATTGGAACACAGTGTAAAACGCTGTACAGACTGGAGAGTTATAACATGTTATAACGGTCGTCAAATAATTGCAACACAGAAACCACCATCAAGATAGCGCTATAACATGTTATAACTCTGTAGTCTGAACGTACTATAATACCCCAGACAGACTATGGCTTATATCATGTAATATAGGCTGTCTTGCAATGAGCACTCATACATCTAGTTTTCACTGGAAATCCTATATACGAAATCCTATATAGGAAATAATCATTAATTTTCACGAGTTCTTCATTGTCTGCAATCCAATGTTCTGTAACCAGTTGGTTACAATCCGTGGATTTTCGTTTGTATGAGTTGTTGTTGTTTGGAAAATTCACGTATTTTAATTTAAAAGACAGAAGGCAACACACAGCAGCGAGAGGGTTAGTACCGCTGCAAAAACACTCGAACGATACTAAAGGGAGGACAATTAAGCTAAAAATGGAGAATGATCGGCAAAAAGCATGCGAGTGGCCATGTTGTAAAAGAAAAAAACCTTCTAATTGGCAGAAGTAATCAGGCGTCCGTGTAGACCGGTATTGTGAAGTGTAGTGCATATATAACAAACCCCCCCCCCCTTGTGGGGTTTGGGCTGGAAAGCCTACCTCCGTTCAGGACCTCTTGTGCTCTTCTGCTCTTGTGCTCTTGTGCTCTTGTGCTTTTGTACATTTTGTACACCTCGTACCGTAAGCAAAACGGTTTTACACGGCTCGGCTCGGAAGTCAAGATGGCTTCCGAGCCTAATAGTAAATGATCCTCGATCGTCCGTCAGGGACGATTCCCTCAGGCCGGTGGCCTTAATTGCCAAGGAGGGTCCCGTCTCGGCTCGACCAAGGTGGCCATGCCACGGTCAGCCGATTTTGTCAACGACGGAAGACGCCTGCCAGCCAAACGAGCCAGCAACGCCTGCTGAGCCGTATGTGGCTGATGAACGCCACCAGATCCGCCATTCTCCCAAAGCGGCAACAACACTGTCTGCAGCCCGCGCCGCAAGTTTCCGGCCACACGGTAGTGCAGGAGCAGCCGTGTGGGCCAACGCCAGCGTCGCGACGCCGAAGAAGAATCTGCTGCAACAGTGAGTACCGTAACATTTTAAACCCTCGCATACACGCCACATATATGTGAAAACCCACACCCACACGCCACAGAAAAGGGCAAATAAATATGTTAGAAAATGTGAAGATTCCTGTGTTTCATACTTTGTCCGCGTAGCCCCTCCGAATACCCAGTAACATGCCGGCCCTGCGACACAGTTCAGGGGTCTCATGCTACTGAGTTAGTTACCCGGGAGTGTCTGGTCATGCCATAGTCACAATTGGCGACCGACGTAAAATCGTGAAAGGTATTCGGAGGATCGCTTAAAGTATGAAAATCTAAGGATTTTCCAACGGGAGGTGGCAGGGATCCGTGCTTAGCACGAATGTCTAAAACCGCACACTTGATACGAGACCGATGAAAAGTGTAAATTTACAAGGGATTTGTTAAATCAAAAGAGGTTCTGAACGAGAGGACACAAACCAAAATTAGTTCAAACGATTTTAACTTGTTCGTGTTCGTCCAAATTTGTATTTAAAAAATCATAATCACCCTACCCGTACTATACTTACCGTACATACTTACCTGTGATATAAATGTAGTAATAATTAAGTCAAATGCAGCTCACTTATACTTACCATCCACTAAAATGTTTGACATTGACAACTTTTCTTTTTTATAGAACTATTCCCTATTTTTGCCCAGACCAGAAAGGGTCTTGTGGCGCTAAAAGGAGTTAATAATGTTTATTTTTTCTTTTTAGGATAATAACAATCACTTATCCTAGTGCCATAATGGTGAATGACACAGCAGGTAACTGGGCATGGATGCACGAGTTGGCAAGGAGTCATCGAGACTTGTCCTTGGAACTCGGTGTACAAATCCTCCCCGACCACCACCGCTACAGTCCAAACCAGCACACCAGTAGGAATCGATTGGCCTAAAAAGAAAAATACAACAACAATTAGTTGATAGAAAGTTGTTTTAAAATTTTCAAGAGAAAATTTATTTGTGCTTTCAATTGATTAAGGAGTTCAACACTCCATTAAAATCAATTATGGATCACCAGATCAAAATTGATTGTTCCTGTTGATGGAACAAGGGATTTTCGTACCAGCAACAACAGTGAAAGATCGAGGAATTGCATGTATTGCCCTCTTTCTTTGCACTTGTTACGATAAGACTGCAGAAAATACCCACTTGTCAACTTATGTTGACCTTTTTATGCTTCGATCAATTTCAACGATCGGCAATATTTTAAATTCACTGAATTGTGTGCACTTTACTCACCTGCAGTGCATCTTGTGGATACAAGATGGCTAGCATGGTAATCCCGGGATTTCATGGGTTTTCTGCAGGCAGATCTTCCCCAGGAAGATTTTGGCACTGGCAGCAAAACAACCCACCCACTGGAGCTCCAATCCACTTTTATACACACATACACCTACAAGAAAAACAGGAAGCATAAATGTCGATATGCTTAGTCGATATCTTTATTTACTTACCTCATTTCGATTGAAATTTGGCCAATTTCAACGGAATAAAACACACAACACAACATAAATAACGCGAAACATAAACATTGCTCATGGCGATATGCTTTGACAGATGTTTATTTACACATTGATGCCGTATGACAACCTGTCATCGGTGACTGATCGCTTGATCGACTAATCGATCAAATGACAGTTCACCCGCCGGTAAATCCCGCCTGCGCAAGGGGGACTACCAATGCGAAAGATCGAAAGTGATCTAAATGAAAATTATGTAAATATTAGAAATAGGGTTGTAAAATTGTTTTGCTGCAGCATTGTAAATATGTTTATATGAATGTTTACCCATGATTCGGGATGATTTTTGTAATTTATTAGTGTAAAATAAATGAGTAGTGCACGTTTTTATTATTATTTTAAAATTTGATTTTAATTTATTATTTTAATTTGTATGTACATAGTATGATTATGAATTCGCGTTTTCAAGTAGATTGTAAATAGTTTGTTTTGATTGTTTTTGATGCGGTTGCACTTCCATGATACCGTTTGAGCCGAAGATGGTTTTGATAAAAAAAAAATGCAAAATCACTTCGTGCTTTTACATTTTTCATCGGGGTAGTGGATAGTGTAACCAGTTGGTTACAATCCGTGGATTTTCGTTTGTATGAGTTGTTGTTGTTTGGAAAATTCACGTATTTTAATTTAAAAGACAGAAGGCAACACACAGCAGCGAGAGGGTTAGTACCGCTGCAAAAACACTCGAACGATACTAAAGGGAGGACAATTAAGCTAAAAATGGAGAATGATCGGCAAAAAGCATGCGAGTGGCCATGTTGTAAAAGAAAAAAACCTTCTAATTGGCAGAAGTAATCAGGCGTCCGTGTAGACCGGTATTGTGAAGTGTAGTGCATATATAACAAACCCCCCCCCCCTTGTGGGGTTTGGGCTGGAAAGCCTACCTCCGTTCAGGACCTCTTGTGCTCTTCTGCTCTTGTGCTCTTGTGCTCTTGTGCTCTTGTGCTTTTGTACATTTTGTACACCTCGTACCGTAAGCAAAACGGTTTTACACGGCTCGGCTCGGAAGTCAAGATGGCTTCCGAGCCTAATAGTAAATGATCCTCGATCGTCCGTCAGGGACGATTCCCTCAGGCCGGTGGCCTTAATTGCCAAGGAGGGTCCCGTCTCGGCTCGACCAAGGTGGCCATGCCACGGTCAGCCGATTTTGTCAACGACGGAAGACGCCTGCCAGCCAAACGAGCCAGCAACGCCTGCTGAGCCGTATGTGGCTGATGAACGCCACCAGATCCGCCATTCTCCCAAAGCGGCAACAACACTGTCTGCAGCCCGCGCCGCAAGTTTCCGGCCACACGGTAGTGCAGGAGCAGCCGTGTGGGCCAACGCCAGCGTCGCGACGCCGAAGAAGAATCTGCTGCAACAGTGAGTACCGTAACATTTTAAACCCTCGCATACACGCCACATATATGTGAAAACCCACACCCACACGCCACAGAAAAGGGCAAATAAATATGTTAGAAAATGTGAAGATTCCTGTGTTTCATACTTTGTCCGCGTAGCCCCTCCGAATACCCAGTAACATGCCGGCCCTGCGACACAGTTCAGGGGTCTCATGCTACTGAGTTAGTTACCCGGGAGTGTCTGGTCATGCCATAGTCACAGTTCAGTCCTCCGATGGAACGGGAATCGACTGACTACGGTGCCCCTGTAAACGGAGTCCCATAGTGATGGTTCCGTGGTCGTAATACATTCGCCATGAGCCTGCAATTTGGAGAGATTTGCTGCTGGGGGAACTTGCCTAGTCGAGTGCCGTTTTTATCATCAAAAAAGCCGAAGGCGAAAGAGATCAGAGCTATCGAAAACAAAAATCTAGGCAAACATGATGAAACAGAAAGCTGCAGGTAACATAAACAACAACGGTGAAACGTCATTGAGTGTATGCGTTAAAGCTACACTGTTATTTTTTTTTTACTTTGTAGCTTTCCACTTGACAGTTAATATCATTAATATTTATACTAAAAACTATAATAACTACCAATATGAGCAATTTCTACACCAAATATTACTTCATATCAAGTTGTACTCCCCCTAGACCGGCTGGCTCGCCGACTGGTGAACTCGATGACCTTGATTTTGCCGTTTCGTGATGCGATGAAACTTGTTGGTTAGAGATGTACAGCTCATCTGCTTGACTCGGCCGGAAATGACTGCTTCCTTTCTCGAACGATTGAGCGGCAATTACAATTCCGCGATGCTCACTACACTGTTGTATACTGCAACACCACTCAGTATGAAAGCGGATTGACAAAAAAAACCTCAATAGGGGAAAAAAACTAGTACCGATTACGGAGTGCAAGCAATACTTGACCGAAACAGTCGAGCGTTCGATGTGGAATGACGGTAAGTACTTATCATCATTCAATAACTATTTCTTAATCAGTAAGAAATCTACCATTCATTCCTCATTTCCTAATGCTCAGTTTGTTTACATCCAGTTTCTCCCCATGGTCTGCAGTTCCAGGAAGAAAAGCTGAATAGGCTGATACTAATACGCTAAGTGTTAATTTTTACGTCAAAATTCCATTGACAAAAACCTAATCAACCTATCTGGTAATCATTTTTTTTTCCTTTTTTTTCTGTTTTAGGTGCCGGGCTTTAAATCAGCGGAGGAGAAGATTCCGAGGTGTTTTCCAGAGTCGTCTACCAATTCATACGAGCTTGTACCGATCCAGCACGGTGCAAGTTTGGCATTGAATTTGTCTACTGCGGAGGACTGTTTGAAACTTCTTTTGAGGACCCTCTGACCAACTTGACACACCGGTGCGTGCTTTTTCCGACGTAAGTTGTAATATTGTGAATTTTTCGAGTATTGCTTTTGTAAATTTTTGACCACAAGATCGCGAATAAACTGATCAACCTTAGTTTTGTTTTCTAGTCTTTTTTCATCCGAAATTATCGTCTCATCCCTATCGACTCTATGTTCATCACCCCTTCCTACTACTTCATGACCAAATATGATCTTATACGGAGAGAATCCAGTTGAGCTATGAGGAGTAGTGTTCAATACGTGTTCGACTTCCGAAATCCGAGTGTCCCAGATAGTTTGATCTGATCGGACGTATGTACGAATACACGCATTTATGGTCCTATTTAACCTTTCGACGGGGTTCGCCTGACAATGGTGTCGTGAGTTAGCCCAATGCTGGATGCGGAACTTTTCGAGGAGAGATTTGAATTCCTTCGATATTAAACATTCCGGCACGGCGTATCGTCGAAACAGGTTGTCTTCTAAGATTTTGTTGACTTGAGAGGTGGAAATCTTGCGAAGCGGAAACAACCAACAGTATTTCGAAAACAGGTCCATGACTACGAGCAGGTGACAATGGCCGGTCTTACTTCTGGGAAGCGATTGAATGAAATCAATGGCAATGATCTGAAATGGCTTCGTAGTAACCCTCTGTTGCCCCATCACGGGATGTTGGGACTGGTTACTCGGCTTGCTTTCTTGGTAGATCTTGCACCTTTGCACGTAAGCCTTGATTTCCTTCGCCATATGGGGCCAGTAGTACTTCCTACGGACCTTCGCCAGCGTCTTCTCGTAGCCCATGTGAACAGCCTCATCATGTTCCTCAAACAAAACCTTCTCTCTCAACGCGAACGGAACGCATATCTTCCACTCAAAACGGTAGTCAATGTTCTCCGGGCTGGAGACAAACTTCTTCAAAATCCCATTCTCCACTCGAAAATCCTTGTAGTTTTCCGGCTCCTCGATAACCTTCTGCGTCATGTAGTTATACCAATCGGACGTGGCCGATGTTGCCCTGACCTCTTCCACGGCTCTGGACAGAGCGTCAGGCACAATGTTGTCGACTCCTTTGCGATGGTGGATTTCCATGTCGTGTTTTTGCAATTCGAGGCTCCATCGACATAATCGAGAGGACGTTTTCCAGCTGATCCGTAGGATGTACGTCAAAGCCGACGCGTCGGTGATTACCGTGAACCTCGAACCTTCGATATAACACCTGAATTTTTCCAACGACCTCAGGACTGCTAAGGCTTCCTTCTCGGTAGCAGCATACCGTTGCTGAGTGGCACCTAGTTTTTGCGAAAAGTAGGCCACCGGCTTGTCGATGTCATCATACGTCTGGGTTAAAACTCCGGCAATGGCGGAATCACTAGCGTCGCAATGGATAGAAAATGGCTTGGAAAAGTCGGGGTTTGTCAATATGGGGGCACTGATCAACAACTCCTTGATCTTGACAAACACCAATTCAGCGGAATCGTTCCACTTCACAACCTTCGGCTGATCTTTAAGCAGATCAGTCAATGGGCGTACAATCTCACTAAAGGTTGCTATAAACCGCCGATAGTAGTTGCACATACCCAGAAATCTCCGCAATGCTCGCAGCGACTTTGGACGTTCGAAATTGAAAATGGCTTCGACCCGATCCGGATTTGGGCGAAGTCCATTCTTACTCAAAATATACCCTAAGTACGGGACTTCCGATACACAAAACTTTGACTTCTGTAAGTTGATGGACAGGTTAGCTGCTCTGAGTCTAGATGCCAACTCCTTGAGCCTATCCAGGTGCTCTTCAAACGTGTTGCTTATCACGATGATGTCATCGAGGTAAACAAACACGTTTGGTTCCAGCTCACTCCCGCCCAGAACACGGTCCATCAATCTCGACCAAGTTGCCGGACTGTTCACTAGGCCGAAGGGCATCCGAGTGAACTGGAACAGCCCTCTCCCCAACACCGAGAACGCGGTGTACTTCCGAGAACGTGGATGCAGTGGAACCTGTAGAAACGCCTTCGACAAATCTATCGTGGAGATGTAACAACTCGGACCTAAACGACTCAGGATTCTATCGGCGTGTGGAAGAGGGTAAGAGTCCCGAACAGTTCGCTCGTTGAGCTTCCGGGCATCTAGGCATAACCGGACTGAGCCATCTGGCTTGTCCACTGGGACAAGGCGGAGTGACCAGTCACTGTATGACCGTTCTATAATACCACACTGTAACATACTATCAAGTTCCTGGTTTATCTTCTCTTGCCTAGCGGGGGAGGTTGGAAACGGGTTTATGCGCACCGGAGAAAACTTCTTCGCTTCGTCCGACAGCTCGATTCGATGGCTAATCATTGCCGTTGACTCCAGATGACCTTCTACTGCTGGTTTTAACAACTTCTTCACTTCCTCTAGTTTCTTCACCTGCTCCTGCGTTAAAGAGGACTCCACCGCATGTTCTCGTAGCTCTTCAACGGAACTTGGAAAATCAGTGGCCGCGATGCTCGGCACGATCCCAAACGACTGCCAAAAGTCTGATCCTAAGATCAGTTTGCGTTTGACCGATGGAATAGCTAGAGCTGACAGAATCTTAGTTACGCCATTGAACGTAACTGGTAGATCA